AAAACCACCTGTAAAATGCAGCTTGTATGAGCCATGATGTTTACCTTCTGTGGCTCCTCCTCCTCTGCATCTGCATCCTGATTGGCCAGTTTGACAGCGTTCTCTAGGACACCCATAAGGTTCTGATCGCCACTTTCAGCCCCCTGCAGCGGAGGACAACCTGACCCACACACACACACACAGACACAACACCACATTTACTTCTATAGCGCTTTACACATGTCTTGTATATATATATAAAAAAATAAAATTATATCGTTCTTACAAAAACATTACCTGGTGGCACAGGAAGATCTGCCAGATTAACAGGACGTCCTGCTTTTTGAGCTTTAATGGCATCCTGATATTGCTGAAGTCCAGAAAGCACATGGATGAGGGTTAAATAACGAATAACCAGCGTGTGGTGTTAGTGAGGAGACTCCTGAGGTGTGTGTTACCTTGATGATGCGCTGGTGCATGCGTGCCTTGCGCTCGTCTCCTTTGCTCTTGGCGGCTTCTGCAGCTTCTTTATATTTGTCCATGCGCTGCTGTAAGGCCTCGGCCACGCTCCGGGGAGCAGAGAGAGCTGAACACACACACACACACACACACACACACACACACACACACACACACACACACACATTCACAACGTTATTCACATCCGAGTCTGATCTGATCTGACCACCATTGACAGGATACCTCATCAATTAAAAGACAAGGCTCACATATGTTTTATACATTATATGTGCGTGTTTTACACACACATACATGATAGTTCTCTTTAAATGCAACATTTTAGACCAAAAATATGAGAAAAATGCATTTTTCCTCAAAGTAGAACCTTTTCAAACCGTGTGTTTGAGTATCTGTGTTATATACTATATGTGTGTGTATATTATATACTATGGGTATATTATATACTATATCTGTGTGGATGCATGTTATGCACAATGGATTATGTAATATATATGTATATATTATATACTACACTCACCGGCCACTTTATTAGGTACACCTGTCCAACTGCTTGTTAATGCTGATTTCTAATCAGCCAATCATATGGCAGCTCAATGCAATTAGGCATGTAGAGATGGTCAAGATGATCTGCTGCAGTTCAAACCGAGCATCAGAATGGGGAAGAAAGGAGATTTGAACGTGGCATGGTTGTTGGTGCCAGACGGGCTGGTCTGAGTATTTCAGAAACTGCTGATCTACTGGGGTTTTCATGCACAACCATCACTAGGGTTTACAGAAAATGGTTTAAAAAAAAGAGAAAATATCCAGTGAGTGGCAGCTCTGTGGGCGCAAATGCCTTGTTGATGCCAGAGGTCAGAGGGGAATGGCCAGACTGGTTCCAGCTGATAGAAAGGCAACAGTAACTCAAATAAGCACTCGTTACAACCGAGGTCTGCAGAAGAGCATCTATGAACACACAACATGTCCAACCTTTAGGCGGATGGGCTACAGCAAGTGAAGACCACACCGGGTGCCACTCCTGTCAGCTAAGAACAATAAACTGAGGCTACAATTCACACAGGCTCACCAAAACTGGACAATAGAAGATTGGAGAAAATTTGGCATCAACAACATGAAAGCATGGATCCATCCTGCATTGTATCTATAGTTAAGGCTGTTGGTGGTGATGTAATGGTGTAGGGAAGATGTTCTTGGCACACTTTGGACCCAGTAGTATCAATTAAGCATCGTGTCAACACCGCAGCCTACCTGAGTATTGTTGCTGACCATGTCCATCCCTTTTGACCACAGTGTACCCGTCTTCTGATGGCTGCTTCCAGCAGGATAACGCACCATGTCATAAAGCACAAATCATCTCAGACTGGTTTCTTGAACATGACAATGTATTCACTGTAGTCAAATGGCCTCCACAGTCACCAGATCTCAATCAAATAGAGCACCTTTGGGATGTGGTGGAACGGGAGATTCGCATCATGAATGTGGAGCCGACAAATCTGCAGCAACTGATGCTATCATGTCAACATGGAGCAAAATCTCTGAGAAATATTTCCAGTACCTTGTTGAATCTACGCCACGAAAGATTAAGGCAGTTCTGAAGGCGAAGGGGCGTCCAACCCGGTACTAGTAAGGTGTACCTAACAAAGTGGCCGGTGAGTGTATGTATATGTATGTGTGTGTGTGTGTGTGTGTGTGTGTATGTATGTATATATATATATATATATAAATATATATATATATATATATATATAC